GGAGGTCTTCCGCGTCCTGAAACCACTAGGTATGGTGATTGTTTTCTCCTCAAGCAAATCAAAGTTCGGCGCCAACTGACAAACACGACAGACGAGGCCGCTGTTTCTAGTCAGCTCAAGACGCTGTACGACGACGGGTTCCGCAGCATTGCGGTCTGTTTAATTCACGGATACAACTATCAAGGTATGCCAAGCAAGCAAATATCACGCGAGAGCCTATGGCTAATAGCAGCCGCACAGAGCACGAGGCCCGTATCGGCAAGCTTGCTTCCGCAGTTGGATTCACCAGCATCTCATTATCTCACAGCCTTATGCCAGTAATCAAACTGGTCAATCGCGCACATTCCACCACAGCCGATGCGTATCTCACTCCTGTTACCAGGGAGTACATTGATGGTTTCCTTCAGGGCTTCAAGCTAGGATCTGAAAATCACACCAGAATTGAGTTCATGCAGTCAGACGGTGGTTTGGTCAGTTTCGACAAGTTCAGTGGCCTTCGTGCTATCCTTTCTGGCCCTGCTGGCGGTGTTGTAGGATATGCTCGAACTTGCTACGAGACCACTGACCCCAAGCCTGTAATTGGTTTTGACATGGTAAGATATTGTACCTTGTTTGGAAGGAAAGAAGAACTATCCTGACAGTGCGAGACTTAGGGTGGCACCTCAACGGATGTTTCACGATATGGTGGGTCGTATGAGCACATTACAAACTCTGTCACGGCCGGTGTTCATATCAACTGTCCCCAGCTTGATATCAACACGGTAGCTGCTGGAGGAGGTTCTATTCTATTCTTTCGCAACGGATTGTTCGTTGTTGGACCTGAGTCGGCTGGCGCCCACCCGGGTCCAGCTTGCTACCTGAAAGGAGGCCCTCTGACGGTTACCGACGCCAATCTTGTCCTTGGTCGCATTCTTCCCGAAACCTTCCCCAAAATCTTCGGGCCTAACGAAGACCAGCCCCTAGGCGCAAACGTTACCCGCCAGAAGTTTGCTGAGTTGACTGCCACCATCAACGAGGAGATTCGCGGCCAGCGGCCGGAGATGACCATTGAGGAGGTCGCCCTGGGCTTCTTGCAAGTTGCAAACATCAACATGTCGAAGCCAATCAGAGCTCTTACAGACACCCGTGGTTTTGACACAACTGCCCACAACCTAGCAAGCTTTGGTGGTGCAGGAGGCCGTAAGTTCATACCATATAGCATCGAACTGGAGACAAAAGCATGATGCTAATATATGCCGTAGAACATGCTTGTGATATTGCCCAAGCTCTAGGAATCTCTCGTGTCGTTATTCACACGTACTCCTCCATCTTATCTGCTTATGGTATCGCCCTAGCAGATATTGTGGAAGAGAGGCAAGAACCATCCTCAAAAGTATACGACTCGGAAACCGAGTCTCACTTTTCAGCTCGCCTGCAGACCTTGGCAGAGGAGGCTGAGAAGGCTCTTGCGGTGCAGGGAATCTCGAAAGACTCGATCCGCATGGAGAGTTTCCTAAACATGCGATACCACGGCTCCGACAGTCAGCTGATGATCCCGGTTTCTACAAGCGGCTCAAGCGTTTTGGACGACTTCACAAAGACTCACTTGCGAGAGTTTAGCTTCGTGGACAAATCAAGGAAGATCATTGTTGACGATATCCGGGTGCGAGCTAGCGGGTCTAGCCATCGCCTGGAAGAACGATCATTCCAGGAGGACCTCGAGAGTGTCAAGAAAACAGTGAACAACCTCGATAAAGAAACGAAGAAGAGCAACGTTTACTTCGAAGGAGGTTGGCAATCAAGTCCTGTGCTTACTCTGGGCAGCCTTAAGCCTGGTACCGTGGTCGATGGTCCAGCCATCATTCTGGACAAGACACAGACCATTGTTGTCACACCCTCCTCCAAAGCAACTGTACTGGAGCGTCACGTAGTTATTGACTTGGGACTTGAAGGAAAGAAGTCTGTGAACGCCGAGGAAGTGGACCCAATCCAGCTGGCAATCTTTGGCAATCGTTTTATGAGCATAGCCGAAGATATGGGCCGGACTTTGCAGAAAATCTCCATCAGCACGAACGTGAAGGAGCGTCTGGACTTTTCCTGCGCAATCTTCGACGGAGAGGGATCTTTGACAGCAAATGCACCTCACGTACCTGTGCACCTGGGGTCTATGTCTCGCGCTGTCAAGATTGCCATGAAGCACTGGGAAGGTGACCTGAGCCCGGGAGACGTGATTGCTACCAACCATCCTGCAGCTGGTGGAACGCATCTTCCCGATATCACGCTTATTTCACCCGTATTCGACAAGTCTGGCCAGCATATTGACTTCTTTGTCGCTGCACGCGCCCACCATGCGGAGATCGGTGGTATTGCCCCCGGCTCTATGCCCTCAGACTCTGTCGAGCTGTACCAAGAGGGTGTTGCCTTCGAGCAGTGGAAGATTATCTCGAAAGGAAAGTTTGACGACGAGGGTGTCCAGCATCACTTTGTTGATGTCCCCGGCTCGTACCCTGGCTGTAGCCCTTCACGCCGCGTCCACGACAACATTGCCGATCTTAAGGCCCAGATCGCCGCCAACCAGAAGGGTATCAATTTAATTCACAGCCTGTTTGAGGAATACGAGCGTGATACCGTGCTGTTTTACATGCGCGCCGTGAAGCAGACGGCTGGAGTCGCAGTCCGGGACCTCCTCAAGGCTACGGCGAAACGGTTCGAGGGCGAGATGCCATTGACAGCAGTCGACTATCAGGACGACGGCACGCCGATCAAGCTGGCGATTTCCATCGACGCTGAAAAGGGCGAGGCGGTTTTCGACTTTGCCGGCACCGGGTTGGAGACTTTCAACTGTTTCAACGCGCCCCTCGCTATCACTCACTCTGCTATTCTTTACGTTCTCCGCTGTCTTGTAGGCATGGACATTCCCCTCAACGAAGGTAGGTGTAAGCACATTATCGCGAAATGGTCATTCGACTAACCGTAGCTAGGTTGTATGGAGCCTGTCACCGTCAACATCCCCGAGGGTACCATCCTTAACCCCTCTCACAACGCTGCTGTGTGTGCCGGCAACCCCCTCACATCCCAACGTATCACCGATGTCATTCTCAAGGCATTCCGTGCATGTGCGGCTAGTCATGGCTGCATGAACATTCTGTCTTTTGGAGTGGGAGGCTGGGACAAGGAGACGAAGCAGTTTGTGCCCGGTTATGGTTACGGAGAGACGATTGCGGGCGGATGTGGCGCCGGTCCTGGCTGGCATGGATACAGCGGCAGTCATGTGCATATGACAAACACCAAGATCACGGACCCTGAGATCATGGAGAAACGAGTAAGTCTCATGGACGGAACTCTGCGAGATGCCTAGCTAACGATGCAATAACAGTACCCCGTCGTTCTGAACCAGTTCTGCCTGCGTCCGGATTCAGGAGGTACGGGTCAGTGGAAAGGAGGTAACGGAGTCATTCGCGAGGTCATCTTCACGGAGCCTTGCCACGCTTCCGTTCTCTCGCAACGTCGTGTGTACAGCCCTTACGGTATGGCTGGCGGTGAAGACGGCGCTCGAGGTATCAATTATCTCGGCCGCAAGATGAAGGATGGAAGCGTAAGGTGGATCAACATTGGAGGTGGCAAAGAGATTGATCTTCACGCTGGTGATCGTATCATGCTTTGCACCCCCGGTGGTGGCGGTTATGGAAAGCCCGTCGGGACCAACGGCGTTGGACTCAATGGGCATGTGAATGGCAATGTGAACGGGCATGTGAATGGACATGCCAATGGGTATGTGAATGGAGAATCCAAGTTCCAAGCTCCTATCCCGAGAGCCAATGGAAGCTTGCGTGAGTACGAATCCAACCAGCAAGCATCAAATTAGAATATCATTGGGTTATTTATTATCTTGTAATATTGAATGAGCATGGAGTTAAATGTATTCCTTCTCTCTGGATACATAGCTTAAATAGCCTGCGCCTTGAAGAGACAAATACCCCTGAATTCCTGCCTTATGATATCCTGAATGACGTTAAATAAATATCTATAGGTGATTTCAATTGTAAATACGTCGATATTGCGTTCTATAGGCATATCCCACAGAAGAGTAAGGTTTTTCTCTCGTTCTCATTCTGATATTTGGATGAGGCCCAGTCATTGCGGCTACCCTAGAGCTTAAACATAGGCATTACAAGCATCAAGATTTGAAATTGATATTCTGGAAAAGAGGGCAAAATGTAGAGTTGATGCCATCAAAGTCGAAAATCTCAACTAGAAACTCTTAATATCGGCTTCATTTATTCGCTGTGTCTCTCGAAACAGACCTTTCACGACTTGATCATGCAGTGTACAGTCAAGGTTGATTTCTGTCGACTCCTTTAACATGCCGTAAAAAAGAAGGGCTATAGGTAGCCGACGTGGAGTTACTCCAGAATACGGGACTTCTGGAGAAAAGCTCAGCTTCCAAAAATTAGCATACGAACAATACGAAGCAAACGAGGCTCGGAACCCTACAGCACTGGAATTTAGTTCGGTCACGAATCGTAATCAGGATGATTGACACGTCTTTCTCAATAAGCTGCCAAGGAGTAGTTGAACGGTTCGTGCAATGTCTTGGTGTACGCATAGCCCGGAAAGTGGGCGTAGGTTGGCGAGGTTGTGTGCGGAGGCGTGAATTAGTTGGTCACCTTAGTTGCAGATGGCTAGTGTGATGGCTGAGATATGTTGCATTATTGTCACTGGGAGTGTTTTGATTGTCTCCAAGTTAGTTCTATCTAGAGACTAGGAATGGTGACTGGGTATATCACTAGCTGAAAGATCACCGGTCAGCCTCATCTCCACTCTTCCAGCTACTGTTACAGCTGATGCAACCGGTGAACAGCCTGGAAACGATGCCAAGCCCATTCGATGGAGGCGTAGCTTGCTATTGTTCATTGTTTTATTGAAACCTCAACCAACATTTACGCTAAACTGAGACTATTGGGCCGCCAAGGCAAGGTTCGCCCCCCCTGACGATCTTCTGAGTTCCCGTTCTGTGTTCACTAATGGGTGAATACGTATTCATCTACTAGCCTTGCAACCTCTTGTCCGAGGCCGAAACTATAGATGTAGCCACCGACTGTGGTCCCGTAAGCGTGGACTACCTTCTGCCCATTGATCACCTCCTTCTCCACTCTTACTTCAGGTAGTCTCAATGGTCGAATGCCTTCGAGGTCGGTGACAAAAGTGTAGTCACAAACTCTATCGGAAGGAAAATCATTGGGTAAGCCTGCGTGCGCCATCCGGACCAGCTGGATGTAGGCGTCGTCCGTTAGTCGCTGCTTTGACGCCGAGCTGGAAAGGCAAGCTTTCAGAAGTTCCTTACCTCTGTACGTGTGGATTCAGTCGATCTTCTCGTATTGTCAACAGGCTCCGAGATGCCTCCAAGGACCGCGGTGCCGTCGTGACGACCGAATATGTAGGTATAGCCAGTCGCTGCGCGGCGAACGAAACTCCCGCGAAATTCAGATTTCACCACCGTCGTATATGTACGGTCCATGATGATCTTCTCATCCTGGACATCCTCAAGGGTCATTGAGCCCAAGCCCGACGCATTGATCAAAATGTCGTGACCAATATGGGAAAGCGCGCCAAGCGAATTGATGGTCTCTATGCGCTGGAATGTAATCCCTTCAGCCTCAAGATAGCTCCGGAGCCACGGAAGAAAGACGGCGGGAGTGAGCGTGAAGCTATTGTACTTCACCGCCACATCAGCCGTTCGACCGTCAGGTAGCTGCGCCGGACTCAGCTCCTGATATCCGGGGACGATCTCATGATACCAGAGCTCCTTGGCTGACGTCGCCCCAACCTCATGCAGGTCTGTGAGCTGTGAGCACCTGACTGAGGATTCTGGGTTAGTTGTGGCCAGCTGGGAACAGTAGGCTAGACTGTCGAGCTGCATTTTCTGCTCAAGGGGGGTGCCTCCGAGAGCCACCCAGCCAGCACATGCCCAGGGGCTGCACCATTGCTGGGACGGGCCATCGCCGGGGAGATCCCGGGCAACTATTGTGATCTCATAGTCTTTGGGCAGTTGACTGGCAATTGACATTCCAGTGATACTAGTAGAGAATATCTATTAGCGACAAGGGAAGTGGAACATCGTTGATATGAACGTAAGGGGTAATACCCAGCGCCGAAAATCGTTACTCTGGTCATGGTAGATCTTATGTTGCTTCGTCAACTGGTTAGCCAAAGGTGGAGAGGAGAGTAAGAACCCGTCTGAGAAAGGCGACCAAAGCTACTGCTTTTTAAGCCTTCATGACGGAAGTGGACAGCCAGCAGTTGAACTAGCCTGTGAGCGCACGTGAGGTTCGCATCTAGGTGTAGGAGAAGAGGCAGGTTGTCACTCAGAGAGGGCATCGAGCTTGAAACCAACAGGCATTGATGGGTGTGGAAGTATCACGCTCACAAGACCCGACGGGGCCCGCGGACTGAACGCTCCGCTAGGTCGGAGGGGATGAGGAATGAACCCAAGGGACCTAAAGGATTGGCTAGAGACGCATCTCAAAGGATTATCGCTCAGAATGTCTCAGTACATGGTGATGATGTATTGGTACCTTTGACTGGAAGTGCTAATGCATTCCTCATTGTATCATATTGAAGTTCCCACAAGTGTCCACACAACCCATGCACGTGGGGTGCGTGAAAGATTTCCCAGTACACCAAAGATCTATTGATGTTACTGAATAGCTGGAACTATGGAGCCAAAGTAGAGCTGGTCGGCCGCCCAGCCAACGTGCACCGACCTTCGAGGCTTCGGGAACAGCCATCTTGGTCTAGCATCTCTTGTCTAGGTGTGCCTAGAATCAACCTAATCAGCAATTCCGCCTTCCGCGGACTGGTGAATGTTGAAGGGCACACGGCTTCCCGCATTTGGCTCGATGTAAGAAGGAAGCACTATTGTGAGTCATGGAGGATGTGCCTCACGAAGTATACGCCATAGTTGGGTGGTCTGGTCCGTCAGCCTACGCAAGCAGATGAATTGCTGGCAATTGTTGATTGGTCCATATCATGATAATAAGCGCCTCGTATCATTGACACTAGCTAGAGAACAGGATGAACACTGCCACACCAAGAGCTGCCATGAATCCATCATGACGTACGAGTTGGGGGCTTGTCATCGACACAAGTCGTTGTTGGGCAGAAGAAGAAACGGCACCGATTTGTTATTAAGCGACCCCACGCAGTGAATTACCAAATTTGGGTAAGTTTACTGACATGAAGAGGTTTCCCTAACTGAAATGTGGGTGGGATTTGATCTATAACGGCTAAATTTGACTTCAAATCTGACATCAGATAACCGCGCAGTTGGAGACACATGCATACCCTTCTTTAGCCCATAGCAACCTAAATCGTGTCCTTGCTCAAAGATGACTGCTTAAGGGATTCTAGGGGTGAAAATGAGGGGGAGTGGGCCAGAGACAACAGTGAAAGTATCCTGCTTCTTTCCAAGAAAAGACGCCTTTTCGTAGCCTGGCGCAACGGTAATATCATAGCGAGTCAGAATCTCGGCAGTGACGCGGCGGATTTCCATCAACGCTAATCTCTTGCCCACACATGCGTACGGTCCTGGTTCCTCGTCAGTTGAGCGCTGGCCATTGTATTTCTTTTTAACCCAACCCAACAGGAAGTGGAAAAAAAGCATACCAATATTGAAAGGAATGAAGACAGATTTGTTCTTGATTAACTCCGTGTGTTCCGTCCAGCGATAAGGGAGAAACTCTGTGGGTCTCTCAAAGTTGCGCGGATCTGTCAACGACAATTTCACGCAAGGATACGGTCAGCCGGACTGTGAATGCCGTCGATTAGCGAGATTAACGGGCCACATACCTCTAAAGACTGTATAAGACGGCACTTGCACGATGGTATTCCCAGGGATCTGGTTATCACCGATACGGAGCCCTCCTGGGGGTGTGACTCGCTGCGTACCGGAAGGGACCGGCGGGTGCAGCCGAAGCGTCTCATTGATCACGGCGTCCAAGAGTGCAACGTTGGTTAGATCTGAGTTCTCTAGACTTGGAAGAGCATCGAATGCACTCTGTAGGCTTCTGGTAAGATTTGCGTCATAAGCAAGCTCGTAAAAAATGTGAGTGAGAGTGGCTGCCACAGAGTCGCTTCCGGCAATGACAATTAATTGTGCGTCTCCGTGCAAGTTCCAATCATCTCTCTGAGTTTTCTCCCCCTTGTCGTAGTTGGCCAGCAACCAGGAGAAAATGTCGGGCTGGTCCGGCTCATTCTAAAAACGAGAGTTAGACGGAATGTCGATGGACTTAGCTCTTGGCTTAGCTTACACACCTTTCGCCTCTCATTAATTTGATTTTGAATCCAGTTCCAAAACTTGATATAGTTCCAGTTCAAAAGCGGAGTCCTTTTCAGAAAGGGTAGCAGCCAAGGAAGATGGGCGAAGAAGGCAATGTTAAACATATCAGTTCGGATAGTTTGGAATATGTACGCCTCTTCGCCGTGGCGAATCATATTGGAGTTCTTATTGAAAGCCAGGTCCTCCATGACATCAAAAACGAAAAAGTCGAACCACTTGGTGATATTGATTGGTTGCTTGTGGTCGCGATCAATAACTTGAAGGAGCTCATCGATTGCCTTCGTGATTCGAGCATTGTACCCAAGAAGTGCTGCCCAGGAATACTTATTAGTAATATTCCTATGAAATTAAATCCGGTGATGCTATGGCGAAGACTTCTACCTTTAGTACTGAATCCTTGATCCCAGACTTTGCGGCGCCGCGCGTGTTCCTCCTTGTCGCGAGCCATGAAAAGCGGGTAGCGCGGCTCTAAGAGCGTGTACCAAGGTCCCTTGACCGTTGGAGAGTGAGTGCCATAGATAGCTTCAACGGCGGCTGGATCAGTAATAGACAACTCCGATGGGCCTTGATGATATGAGCTAATGATTGCGGCCGAGGGATGTAAGAGTCACAAGCGACTTACCAAGGCGCACGTAATCACCATATTGATGATGAATAAGTTCAACTTCCTTAAAAAGCTGGAGCTTTCTTACGGAGCGAGCTGTGATGTAGAAGTTACTAAGCTTGGCTAGGAAGGGACCGGGATATCTGGAGAGTCGATGGAAGAATGCCCGATAAACGAGCATGCTAACATACAACCCAAGAAGGTAAGAAATAGCCAATTCAACTGCTTCGTTAAACGGGAGCTGGAGGCGAGCTTTTGCAACCCCAGAAACCATCACGAATGCCAAAAGATGACCAATGAAGATCTGGGGCGAGAGCACGTCCCATTCCCCGACTCGAAAGACAAGAAGATGTGACGAAGCACCGCCAAGACAGGCTAGAAAGCTCACGGTATTTGATAAAAGCATCGTTCCTGATCTTGGTCAGATGTGGTATGATATCAACGTTCTTTGTTGGAACATAAACCCGATTGAAACGCAGCCTGGCCAGGACATGAAGAACCACAGCACAAAGAGGGGCCGCAAGGAAGATAGATAGCATTTTGATTGCTACGTGTCCTGTAGGCTGTGACATAATGTGGCTGGGAATTCATTAAACAGGTGCATCTTCGTTGGTTAATTTGTATTGTCAACTGAACCGCGTGGATCCTCCATGCAACACAAAACCTTCCCAAGTTGGCTTTTGGTTGGTCGGGAAAAGAGGCGTCTAGATCGTAGGATGGTTTGCCTATTTGGGTATCGGCATGAAGGGGGTGTCGCTACGAAGCTGCACACGCCCAAAAGCTCGTGCCAAAGTGTCCATTGGTGGCCTCCCATATTGTCAGTCTACAAATGACGCTATGATCAGACAATATCCATTGATTCCTGATACACTTGTGGATTTCTAGTGACCTCTGAGAGTGTAGCGGACCCGATATCAAGATGTATACATACAAAGGATCCCCTCCCACCTACTTGAAGCATCTCACGTCATCCCTCGTGGATTGGGAGATCAGATCCAACATTATTTCATAACCAACAGGGTGTGTACAACTTTATACTCAATTTGATGTGGTAGCATGATGCCGCCTTGACAAAGCCGAGGGTTGACAATATCAAAATCCTTCTGCTAAATGCAACCATACAGATTTCTACGCACGCACCGTTCACGGCATTCGCTTATACAACTCTATTCAGTAAAATCCTCAAACATCGCTGGTATTACTATTTCTCTCGCAGAGAAATATGTCATTAGGGACAACAGCCCGAGATGTATTTCCAGTCCCTTGGCTTCAAAGAAGGACTGCCAGTATCCAGCTAAAGCAACACAATATTTTCCTTTCCGTGAGTCCAACCCTAATTATGATTTTCCCTCTTCCTCACCAATCAACTTATCAATTCCATAAGCTTGCTCTCCTTGGCTCCGACTACATCTCCATTCCTAATGGCCCCGACATATTGGGAGGAGATGAAGTCAACAATCAATCAGAGGCTTTCTCAACGGTGCTTCAAGCCCACATAAACTTCAAAACCTGTTTGCTGCCCGAGGAGGTTGAGAAGAATTCCTTCGGCCGAGCTTGCAGAGCCGAGGTGAATGCTATTGAAATCTTCTTCCCTGGAGCATTGTCAGCGAAAGTCCGGATTTGCTTCGCCGCCTGGCTAGCCTTCGCATGCGCCATGGATGACATTCTCGAGACGCTGCCTTCTGACTTGGGTCAGGCGGTCTTATGCGATTGCATCGAAATAATCCAAGGCCGCCCTGCAGACGTTTCCAACGGTACTAAAGGTATTTGCCATTGGATAGGAAACCGTGGGTAGCTCTAACTAATTCACTATCCTTTTAGGACATGCTGGCGATGCAAGGATCCAGCACCTAACGAGGACGTTGCATCAGCATGTCACATGTCATCTTCCCCAAGAGACCTGCGACGTGTTCTTCCACGAGGTGTGCGGTGTGCTTTATGCGCATATTGATGAGTTCTTGTTCTTGGACGGTAGAATTCCCCAAGACTTGGACACATATATGTCGATCCGCAGTCGTACCATCTCCCTCAACCCGTTCTTCGAGGTGATTAAGCGAGAGTATTTCCCTACAAGCTGGCAGCCAAATAGAGCCTGGGACCGGCTACAAGAAGCTGTCTCCTCTGCAGCTGGGCTACAAAATGATCTGGTGGGTTTGGAGCGAGACATGAAGAATGACGAGCAGATGAATGCCGTTATTGTTTTGATGCGTAGTCAAACTGAGGCTCGCTCAGCCGATGAGACTCATGCGCTCTTAGCTCGGTGCGTAGATACCGCGGTAGACGAGCATAATAGGTGGATGGAAACAATATTCAGACAAGCAGCACGCATACTTGAAATGGACGGGGGAGATCAGTCAGCGGCAGAGACGAACCAAGTTGTACAGCACATTGTTACAATAGCTAGAACCCACCTGACATGGTGTACTTCAGCCAAGAGGTACATGGTCAGATTTGATCACGATGTATAAAATAGAGGCGTAGTTCAGTTCTATTTTGGTAATTTATGGAACATTGGCATTGAAGCTCAACGCCCTTTATTGAAGTAGTGGGAACACCCCTTCGTGTACAACTGGCACACAAAGTCCCCAGGATGGTGGGGGTGTGGCTCGGACTCACCAGAAGCTGACCGGACTAAGGTAGTCCGAATCGTTCCTTACAAATCCCTGTTCAATTAGGGCGGAGTTGATGGACGTTGTACGTCCTGCGTTCTTGCTAGTGCGACGTAGGGGAATACGGAATAAAAGGGTACCCTTCTCAACAGTCGTCTCCTGTGTCCTACAACCATTCGAGAAGGTGGCAGGATAGTCGTCAAAATGATCAACAAGGAGACCATAGTCTATTCAAATGGCATATTCCATGGTCTTCCAACCTATCCTAGTACCCCGGATACGCAAAATCTAACAGCTCTTGTGGCGGGAGCCACGGGTCTATCTGGGTATCACATGGTCAAAGTCTTAGCTGCGTCACAGCGCTGGAAAAAGATATACTGCCTGAGTTCGAGGCCTCCTCCAGAAAACTTCTTTGCTGATCTTGGAGCTGGCAGTGAGAAAGTCGAGCACGTGACCATTGACTTTCTTAGACAACCAACCCAGATTGCAGAATGTCTTAGCGACAGGATTAAGCACGTGTAAGTACTCATTCTGTGCTTGTAGCAGCTCTAGAGCGTCGCTGAACAATCGTACAGTGATTACGTGTTTTACTTTTCGTACAAGCAGCCACCTCCCAAAGGTGATGCCTTGGACCTCTGGGCTCATGCTGATGAGCTGGCCAAGATCAACCGTGAGCCACCTTTCCCCTCCATGTCAAATCTTACTGACCTTCCCGCCCGCCCCTCAAGTGTCTTTGTTCAAAAATTTCATCGGAGGTCTACAGCTAGCAGAGCTAAAACCAAAACGATTTATGCTCCAGACAGGATCGAAACACTACGCGTTTTATCTTGGCCCGGCGGCAATTCCAGCTTTCGAATCCGACCCGCGTGTGACGCTCGATGATAACTTCTACTACGCACAAGAAGATGCCCTCATCTCTTATTGCAAACTTAACGGATCGCAATGGACAGTATCACGACCCACATATATAATCGGAGCAGTTCGTGACGGGTCTCTCAACCATCTCATCGGCTTCGGTATTTACGCTTCGGTACAGGCGTACATGAAGCAGCCGCTTTTGTTTCCTGGAGACTACCATGCTTGGGACCGTGAGCAGCACCAGAGCTCGGGGTTATTGAATGCTTATTTCCAGGAGTGGCTTGTTCTGTCTGAAAGCACCGCTGGTGAAGCATTCAACATCCATGATGGAAATTCTTTCACTTGGGGACGACTCTGGCCTTATCTTGCACAATGGTATGGCGTCGAGTGGAATCCTCCAGAGACGGATGATTCCAAATATCGAACTGTAAAGATGGCACTTCCAATAACACCAAGAGGGTGAGTTCACGCACAAGAATTACAGATAAAAGACTGATCAGTAACTGTGTCGCTAACGGTCATCAAGATATGGCCCTCAGGCAACAATGAGGTCGACATTCAGCCTTCTCGAGTGGTCTTTAAGGCCCGAGGTGGAGCAGGCATGGAAGGAAATTGCTCACAAGCATGACTTGGTGCTAGATCCATTTGATCCTCTTTACCGCGCTCGCATCTTCTCATTCTCTGACTCGGCTGTGATCGGGGACGGCGCAATGACCTTGAGTATGCGGAAAGCTCGCAAGCATGGCTTTTTCGGCACCGTGGACTCTTATGAGTCCATATTCGACTCCCTCAAAGAGCTTGCCAGACTGAAGATGATAATGCCGCCGGTTTTGGGTGAATTTGTCGAGTAGATTTGATAAGAAGAGAATGATAATATCCTGATGAAAAATGATATCATCCCGAGAACCACAAATCCGTGGCACAAGACTCCTCTTGAACAATCAAATTATCCTAGCCCCGATGTTACAAGGTCGGTGGCATACGAAGTCGGGATGCTGCTGGACATGAAGTATTTAGTGGAACGAATGGAGGATAAGAGCTGGGAAGGCTCCTTGAGCCGAGATGAAGATTCAGAGCCTTCGCAACTACAACTATTTGGGATGAAGACAATATAGTTACGCCTCTGATACTGTAAATAATAGCTACCACTTCGTGGAATACAAAATTGGTTGCGGAAATAGATAGTGCGGACAGTTTCGGATCTACATCACTACCGAAGTAAGATAGCTTAGCATACGAGCCGAGACTGAACTTCTTGCGTTATTCTTCCTCCGAGTGCGCTTTCATCTGTACTACATTGAAAGAAAATGGGTGGGCAAGTCTCTTCAATAACCCACGCGGGAGTGTGTCTCTCCATTCCCACACCCAGATGCCCTCAAGCACGAGATCCCCATATCTCCCTAAGAAAATCCTCCACCTGGGTAAATTCATAATCTTGCAGAATCCCATTCCACTCGTCCGTAACTGTCCAAAGGCCATGTTTGGCACCAAGCATTACCGAAATTGTTGCGAGCTTTGAAAAGGACTCGACCTGGTCTTCTGGAATGTCAGGAAAGGGTACTCGGAAGAAGTTGTCGGTTTTGAGTTCCCCAGCTTCAAGGTCTTTCTGCTGTAGACTTTCGATTGTGAAGGGAGTCCCTGAAAATAATTTCAGCATAGTGATCATCGCCAAAAGGGATCTTCATTAATTGCTGTTGTCAACATACCACGGACTCGCTCCCCAATTTGAATGAGATCTTCGAAACTTATTTGATTCCCGCTGACACCTCCAACAAGTGGCCATTCGCCTTCATACTCAATAGCACGGGCAACGACGTTGCCAATGTCGTGGGCAGCCGTAAATGTGATTTTATCAGTCAGTGAGCCTGAAAGCACGAGAGCATGGCATTTTTCCATGTCAACGGTCATAGGCATTGTCGTCAGATACTTAGACACCCGGTGTGGGTGACCCAAGTAATTCATCAATATGCCAACCTGAAAACAACTATACTCAAGAACCTAACACTCATCGTTAACGCAACATCCATTGCCATGGAAAGGGAAAGCTCTCTTCGCACCTTTTTCTCCTTGTTTAGCTCCTCTAAATAGTGATGAATCTCCACCTTTCCTCCGTTCCATGGTGCGAGAGCGAGATTGGCTTCTAGCTTCATGCTTCTGCTTTCTGGTCAGCTATTCGGGCTCAACAGATAGCTGAATTAGTATCATACGTTGCCCACTCAGCAGGTGCATAACGTCTAACCCCTGCTTTGATTGCAGCATCAATGAGCATCTTTTGAGTAGTGTTGCCAGGGTCACGATGCACGGCAAAAACGCAGAGCAAGGTATCCACTCCTTTTAGCAGTTGGACAAGCTCAGACTCGGATTCATATGAAGTCTGAGTCCACGTGACTCCTAGCAGCGGAGGCAATAGTGAGGGATCCTTGAGATGTTCAGTCATTGGGAAGTCTCGTGATTAGAGGTCGGGGAATCGGAAAGGGGCATACCCTGCGAACCAGTGCAATGATTTCATGCTTCTGGCGCTCGACTATTTTGTCAAGTATCTCCCGGCCAAGTTCTATTTGAATGTGATTAGGATTGGGGTAAGACCAGGAAACTTGATTCATGTATAGAACATACCACCTGCCGCTCCGGCGATTGCTACCTTTACCATGTTTGTGCTGTATAATGATCGATTGTAGGTTGATGAGACAAATGCCGATACTTGAGAGAAATCAATCTCTTATATACCACATCTTGACTTATATTGACTGCAACAACCATATACTTCAAGTTTCTCTGAGGTATGATGCAACGATTCCTGTATGCTCCTCACGTAACCGGAGTTCCAGTGTTGCCGGTGGAGGGTGAGCCTGTTACGTGATCGGACTGAAATTCCTCCGACTATGAGGATCCCTGTTCCTCATGGTTTCCCCGCCATTTACACCACGTCAAGTCAATGATATTAGTCCGAAATTATACAACATTCAGTAAAGCAAAATATGTCTTCTCGAGTGTCCAGGAATCAAATTGAGGCAGATGAGGGAACAAGAGTAAGTGGCACCAAGATTACGAGATTTGAAACGACATCTGCTGAACTGATGCCCATGAAGGCACGCCGTGAGCGTGGTCGACAATCTCAGGCTGCCTTCCGCAAGCGCCAGGCGCAATTCAGCCGGGATTTGAAGAGCAAAAATCACCAGCTCACACGGAGTATTGAAAGAGTCCTTGATTGTATTCAAGGCGACGAGCGCTCAGACCTACTGGACGCCGTTTGTGAAATGGCTCACACAGCCGGGATTAAAACCTCACATGAAGGCGAACAGGGACTAGCGGAGGGCAATCGTTTCGTCAACTGGTACCCAAATGATCTGGCTGTTAGAACCAATGAGGAACTGGATGATGAATTCAGGTTTCCAGACAAGTCCCCAAAGCTACATTACAATGGAATACGTCTTAATCCATTCCACTACATGAGCATCTCAATACCACCCGCAGATATCGTGCCATATCTCGGTGCAGGCTCAAAGACATTTGCAGGTAGACTGTTCTGGTTCATGTTAGAGCATAGTCAAGGTCGGTGCGAGAACAATCACGAAGGGCCGGTAGACTTCCATCAGAGGATTGCTGGTCACTCTCAAGCAATGGAAGGAGTGAGTCTATCATTTGCCAAAACGATGGTAGAGGCAAGGTTACAACACAGACGTACGGGATTTGTTGCTGCAGAAATTGCTTCAGCAGCAGAGCTAGACTTGGCTATGGTCATCTGCACAAAGGTGCAGGAAGAATATGAAAAGAAGGGAGATAACATGGCACAGTGGATGTCCTGCCAGGCTGTTGAGGAGCACATTCAAGAGATCCTCGGTGAGGATACATTCACCAGGCTCCAGGGGGCCTTTTTAGAAGACGGGCATCCGTTTGCGAGAAAAGAGGTCGAGAAACTCTATTGCAAGTTGTTTGATACATTCGTGTGTTTTGGGGATGGCCCAAGGTGGACGATTCACACTGTCAATGAGCTGGTCTTTGAATGGATCATGTCGGCTTTTGAAGCAACAGAGAAGAGGTACTTGGCTGGGGATTTTGACACGGAACGTACTTTGTTTTCTTCATAACAAAGTGGATTTTTAGATTGGACATTCTGAAAAAAAAAAGTATGAAAGGATGCCCCGGCTTGGGATCTTTGGTTGATCGGCAGAGCATGACTGGGATACTCAGCCTTCGTGGGAGGAGTAAAGATGCTCGGCTTCTGCCTTTTCGGGATATAGCCAGGTCCTAATAAATGCCCCGAGAGCTAAAAGAAACAAGCAACCTTGTATCACACGTTGGTTGGTTCCAATTTTCTCAAAGGCCTTTTCCAATAATGGCTTTCCCCGGGGTAGGTCCACCACGATACAGTAGACCTGGTCTATAACGAATGTCAAAATAATGGGCTTTTATTCATTATACAGGGCTGGATAGGGTGAGCAAAAGTCGGGCGATTATAAAATCTGTGTATTATCAAGGATATCTGATGAATTTTGTAGTTATCGAGAGATTCTAGATTTACTTGCGAAATCCTTATGTTCCTGGGAAACATTCGTTACCTTAAGGTCCGAACCCCCAGTCTGTCAGTTTCATACCAGTTACTACGTTTTGGGACAGGTCCTCCCCACCAAAATTTAATACAGTTGGCCTGCCAAGAAAGGTACTTCTCAGTACCATGTTCAACGAGTGAGGCGAAGCTGACGAGGCTGTCTGCGGTTAAGACAAGCGATAGCTACGAAGTTGACCAGCCTGTCTTTCGCGATGATGAGAAATGGCTGTAGACCCGACCTAACTGCCCTCCGTCGAGACAAGCCATTGCTGCAGCCCTGGCCGACCTGTCTTCCGACGCGACAAACGACCGCTATGTAGCTACTCTGGCTGTCTCTCTCTCTACCTTAGTGTCTATTTACTTCTGATATATTATCGGCATGTAGGTATGTACTGAGAAGTCACTATCTGGGTCATCTACACGTAACTCTAAATACTCTTGGTGGGACACATTGGTCTCAAATAGGACCAACTGGTGTGAAACTGACATACCGGGGGCTCGGACTTTAACGAACGTGGTAATAAAGAGGACCTTGAAGCCTGGTGATTTATCAAGGGTCGCGGTGATCCATCAAGGGTCGCGACGCATGCCAAGAGAGCGAATTAATTGCCGCTGCCCACGTACGACACTGAAGTACTAAACGCCTTTTGCCCTCACCAGGGATCCCCCGGCGTTAAATACATAGCAACGACACTGAAGTACTATGGAGAGGCACGTAGGGGGCGGTGCTCGTTACGTATCTCGATTCGCGACTGGCTCTGCTGGACTTCTGATCCACGGTCTGATGCTTGGCTACTGACGGGTCAGGAGGCAATTCTCTTGAGTGTCTTCTTGTCCGCGTCGTTATCGGGCCTGTACCTAAGAGAAAGAGAATAAAGTTCAACAGCAATGGAAGCTGCCAGAGCCCGACAACTCAACACAGTGAATAATCGGGCCTGTACACTTGAAGGCGAATGAATATGCATGGATGTGCAAGCTACCTTTCTTGGCCGTCAGACGCATTACATTGCCCGAGGGAATGATCCACAGTCTGTTTTACGCGCCATCAAGATGGCAGCCAGGGGCGGGAAGAAATCTAATCAACTGACATGGGACACTGTCTGGTGGAAGCAAATACAATCCACCTGCAAAGGTTAATTTCAAGTATGATCATCAGGCCATATGTCACAACGAGTTGGAGCCGACGCCAAGGTTGATACCCCGTGTCTCCGTGTTACCAAGATGCGTCATCCATCTTGGCTTGCAGGGAAAGTCTCCAATTTTCCCATCCTGTTTCTTTCGAATTCCCAAGTCTCATTTCACATTCTTTCTTTGTGGACTATTTGCTGTCCGTGTGGGTGCCCGACCTACAGCCAGTTTTCTCCCCCGGCATGCCGTCGATGATGGGCAAGACCCCAAGCGCCTGGTCACAGATGACCCCAGCAACCAACAAGCGCCGATATCGTTTACTCCTCGCTCCTCTAATCCTATTCATGTTTCTTTGGGTTGCGGTACGGTTTGGTTCTAGCGCTCGGGTCCATTCTAACCCACACCTCCATGCTGAAAGCGAATTCAAACCAGTCAACGTCCAGAATGCGGATCGAAAGTCAGTGCAAGAGCTTTGCGCCAGCTTTCCAAAACATGTCCTCGACTCCATACAACCCGTTCTACGCATCGGTCACACGGAAAATCGACACAAGCTAGAGTCGCAGTTTGATAGCGTGAGCAGTTGCTTCACCTCTGATGAGCTCGTCGTCTTCTCCGATCTCGTGGAAGATGTCCGTGGCCATCAGACCATCGATTCTTTGGATAATATGCCCCTCGAGCTGCAGGAGAATGATCATTTCAAAGGGTACATGTCACAAAAGCAGCGGTACAACAGCAACGTCAGCGAAGCTGCATCAGAGCCAGTCCATATCGATGGCTGGGCGGTAGACAGATTCAAATTTCTGCCCATGGTAGAGAGAATATACCACGCACGGCCCGACAAAGAATTTTACGTCTTCTACGAAACCGATTCGTAAGCTTCTGCCGCCCTGATATCCTCCTGCCGGCTGCAATCACACGTCGACTAACTGTACGTGACAGGTACATATTCTGGGACAACATGTTTCGATATCTCAAAGGCTTCGATCCGAACGACGAATTATACATGGGGTCGCCAACAGTTGGACGGAAACGCACCTCTTTCGCGAACGGAGGGCCAGGCTTTGTGCTCAGCCGAGGAGCCATCAAAGCGCTGTTACGCCGCCAGGAGGGAGAAGATGGCTACTTCACGCCGCCTCTTGTCGACCGATGGCTAAAGCGGATGGTTGACGATTGCTGTGGCGACGCGACTTTGGGATGGGCGCTGAACAGAATGGGGGTGCCTGTTATGGGTTTGTGGCCGATGTTCAATCCTCACTCGCTCCACGACATCCCATTCGGTGATAAACATTGGTGCCAGCCGGTTCTTGGCCTACACAGAACGACGCCGAGCGATATGCGGAGATTGTGGAAGTGGGAGTTCGAGAACCGAAAGCAGGATACGCCGATTCTATACGCCGATCTTTGGGAAGTCCACCGCCCTGGGGAGCAGGAGGAGTTTATCGACTGGGATAACGGCAATTGGAACGGATGGAATGCGCCCTGGTGGAGGAACATACAGTCAGCCGAGTCCTGCAAGCAATACTGCCTCGGCGGAAGGGACTGCGTTCAGTGGCATTGGATATCAACAACGAAGCAATGCATCGGGATGAGCTCCTTTCGGTATGGAGAGAGGGCTGTTGATACGGGTCGCCACCATTCGGGCTGGGTAAGAGAACGAGTAGCCAAGTTTCGGAATGATCATCAGTGTAGGAATATCGAGTGGGTGAAGCCCAGTCTCTGGAGGGTATTCTCGGACCGGGGCAGAGCACCACTATATTGAGATGTTAGCATGTTTGTGATTAGCGGCATGGCGTATGGAGTACTGGTTTGGATCCGATATGAAGTTTGAGTTGGGTGTCAATCAGCCGGTATGAGACGGTGGTTTACAATTAAATCTCAAGTTGTAGCATTTGGAAACGATCTTTCCTAGTATCTTCTAAGAGTAGGTAGGGTAGGGATATATGTCTCACAATTGGTCCCGCCTGTCCTTTACGTTTTTCACCGTCTCCCAAACGAGAACAACTGAGAAAGGGAACCCCCCCATGTTCCTCCTCTCCGAGAACATTGGAAGTTGGTACGAAGCACCTGAGTGTCATGGCCGCCCTTGGCGAAGTCAGCCAACGCCTCTGCCCACGCCCTCTCTGGCTGCAAAGCGGCCACTCCACCGGCACTGGTCAATATCTTGCATGCCTCATACCGGCGTGCACAACCCCACTCCAGGCCATTCACATGAGCAAGTACGTCACTAGGGAACCTCAATACCCAGTCCAGCGGCGTACGGCCAGTGGAGTCGCGCGTGTTGACGTTGGCTCCAAAGCGGATCAGGTCTTCTGCCAACCGCGGCCGGGCAATGTGAAGGGGGGTGCATTGTAACTCATGCCCCGTTCTCGTGGCCAGCATCAGAATAGGATTTGGGTCATGTCCGTGCTCAAGAGCTAGAACGGCCAATTGACGCGCAACTGGTTCGGTAAAGTCCATGTTGTCTGAGCCCGTTCTGTCGGCGGTCCATAATGTTCTAAATAGTGTGGCGAGGAAGAGATCATCCTGCTTCATATTGAAGCCGTTCTCGAGCAACAGACGCGCTGTAATCAAGTGTCTCTCATGGAACTCCCCGCTCCCCGGGGAAAAAACTAAGGTACTAAGAAGGGGGAAATAGATTGTCTCAGGTTCCAGAAGTTTAAGTTCGTCGCCGTGCCTCTCTATCCAATCTCGCAAACAAAGGGTAAGCCCATTAGAAGATATGAAAGCGAGAAGGCTATGATCCGAGACTTTGAGCGTTGGATGGAACCCAGGTAGGACTTTCAAGAACTGAGATGGGACGCTGGAGAGAAACTCAAAATGACTGTTCCCGGTTGTAAGCTCTGAATGCTCAGCATGGTACGCAATCCGCTTCCCTTCCAAACCCTCATTCGTGCCCCTGTAACCATAACTCCAGGCAGAAATCCAGTACTTGAGATGGAACGAATGGCCATTCTCCTTCAAGACGACAGCAAGCTCTCCAAGTACGCTCTTCTTAAAGGTAAGGTCCTGGACAAGTTCAAGGACAGTCTGGTGCATGAATTGTGGGTGATTTCGCTTAATCTCGACAAGCCCACCGCCCCAAGTTAAGATATCGTCGCGCACAATATCCTTGACCGACCGCCTGTCATGAGAAATGAGTTCATAATCCTCTGTTAATTCTTCTTGTGCTTTATCCCAGGTCGCGCAGTCGGAGGTGAGAACGGCACGTCTAATATCCTCGGCAGTGGGTTGAGGGTCCTGCTGCCGGAGGAGCAATTCGAGCAACACATATGTTTTGCGGCGGTTCAGAAGGCTAATTCGCTCAATAATCAGACGATAAAAATCGTGAAGGTCATCTGGAAGCATCTCAAGTCTCTTCTCTAGGTGTCGTCTAGAAGCAGGAATTGAATTACTCGCGATCGAAAGGAGAAGTTCCCGCACAGCCAGTCTCACCCATAGAAAAACACCATTTGCGCGAGAAATAATGACTGGGATGAGATCTATGAATGAAGGATTGGATATTCGAGATTCGGCCAACGAGCCTGCGGCATAGGTCGCAATGTCGGCTTTGGTGAAGTCCTGTAACCCAAAGTTTGGACAGGAGTCGAAATGGGAATGAAGCGCCCTCCACGGTCTGCTAGAAAGACAAACCTTGACTCGAGTGGTGGAAGCAGATGACACATTTGACAAGCTCGTGATAAACTTGCTTATTCTGTCAAGGTGTCCATCAAACTCATCCAGAGCATCAAAGAAAAGGACCAGATCCATACTTTTGATGCTCTGGTCCAGAAGAGCACGTAGGAGCTTTTCGAGCTTGAAAATGAGGGCGCTATCATCTTCTTGAGAGTTTTTGACAAGGTTGGTTAAGAACTTGGCCTCGGGCAATATACGATATGGCCAATATACGTTGGCTGCCTGCAACATGTCTCTCTGTACTATACGAATTTTCTCTTCCAGGTCTCGAAGTTCTGATAGGATGAGCCTCTGCCTGGTCTGATATTCACCAAGCATTTCATGGTCAACTTTTCTGTCGGTCGTACCCAATCCGGCTTGTCGCTGCTGGACTTCTTCGATGGAACCTTTGATGGCGATCACAGTTAACTCAGCGTTCGCCTTCTCCGCTACAAGGAGTTTCTCGACCGCTTGGTGCTTTGCATAGCTCTCCCAGATTGGCCGATGTTGCGTGAGAAAGCTTTCAGAGTGGGCAGAGAGAATCTGCAGGATGAGGCTTCTCATGATACCTTCAAACGATTTCTGTAGAGCTGTACCGCGGTAATGAAAAAAGAAACTGGCCTGGACTTCCAGTGCACCCGTAGTCCAGTCGTGCAGAAGCTCCTGTGTCTGCCTGCTCCTTGTGATGTATTTCATAAGCGTCGACTTGCCAGATCCGGGCTTACCGTGAATCCAGAACAAACCTGTACCATGTATAAGCCAGTCAGAAAATTCAGGCATATCAAAGATCCACTTGAAAGTGTTTTGAAACGGGTCTTGTATGGAGTCAATCCGAAAGTCCAGCTCGGGGGAGTACAGTTCGGCCTGTAGCTCTACAGACCATGTAAGTGACTGAATCGATCCTGGTAAATATTTTGGCACCTACTTTCAATTGATTGAAGGAGTTGGCCAAGCTCTTCGATAGCCTCATGGCTCTGTATGTCCTTGGCATCCTTGGGAGAGCTTGGCGAGACCAAGTAGGGATTCTGTCGAGACATGCCCTCCATCTTCGCGTCACCAAAGGGGAGATGAGTGTGGGTGTGGTGATGTTCATCTCTAGTAAAGCAAAGATCAGTGAGGACAGTCAAGATAACGCCCAGATTAGGCTCTCCTCGGGAAAATTTGACCATGTTTGTGTGATCCTCGTTGATGGGAATAGTGTATACTCTATTCTTGCGACTCCGGTTGTGGTGGCAAGTAGCTGAGTCTGGATTAACCAATACTGCTAGCGGGCCGTTTCTTTCCCAAGTTCCATCCGACCGTCGCTAAAAGTTGTAAATATTGTTTCTTTATTAGAAGAAGAACAGGTGTTAGTTCCCACTCACAATAACTGTCCGAGACTCCTTGGTCTCATAAGCCCAGAAGACTCTGGTGTTCCGAGTGAATGATATTCCTTCAAATGACTTGTTGAGCTGCCGTAGGTAAGTGCTTCCATTCTCACGGGACAGGTCTTGTATGAGGTTCTCGTTGGGTTGTCCCTCAGCCAAGGCCATCAGATGCGACTGTAGCATTCCCAGGCTTGGTACGCCGAACATGATAGCGCCTCGTACATTCTCAACAATGCTGGAAAATGCTGCATCTCGATCTGCTACTTGGACAAGCGCTTCTTTGAGAACAATGCCACCCAGGCTATGGGCGAGAAACACAATTGGCTTCGCCGACGGCAGATTCCAGCCGCCCGCTTTGAGCTGGTGGATGAGACCAAGTGCGATATCACTGATTGACTGGAAAGAGTCGCTGTCGATAATTTTGGAGTCGTACCCATAGATAATTGCCCGCACACCAGGTAGTGATTTCGAGATCTCGTCTCTGATCCACATATAGGACTTGTCTCCGCCATGAGGTTGCCACGACCCGAACGCGTGGCTAGCCAAGCCAGAAATGGCGATGCAGCTTATTGCAAGAGATAGGTCTCAGCGCCGAGCTATTGTAAAGAGGCAATAGGAAAACACATACTCTGCACGATGGCTGGAAGTTTCAACATGGTTGAGAGCAGTCAGCCCCCCAAAGTGATTGTCAAGGACAAGTTTGTCTCCGCCCTCGACGGGCAGCGAAATCTCCCATTCTTGACGCGCCGGATCATCCCCAAGATATGACAACACGGCATCTCCGTCGAACTGCAACGTAGCAACCTTTGATGGAGGGGTCTCCCAACGGTCCGAGGTTGTAGCAAGAGAGTGAACCAAGACATGGTCGGGGTTGACACCCAACGCCACGCCAAGCAGCTGGGCAGCCTGCTGTGGCGCCGAAACGTGGCCCGGTATCCTGCGCAGGCGGAATACCTTTCGGCTCCAATTGGACATAGCTCAGGGGCAAACTAACAAGGCTCATCAGGGTAAAGTCTTCATTATGGCAGCTACCAAAACGCGGTCATTTACTTACCCCGCTGGCAAAGCAGAGCTGAAGGAACTTACGTCTTTTCTACAGGGGGCGGGACATGTGACGGTTGGGCGACTTACAATGGACGGGCGTCTAGGGTAGGTCAGGGATGTAACCAATCAGGGTTTGTTCTGAGTGGGCGATCAGGTTGTCTTGGTGTGCGAGTCACTGCTGATGTGCGAGCACTGAGGAGCTAGTTTCAATGAAGGCGGTAGTGATTATATAAATAACTGTCTAAGAGACTGTTTCTAGTTAAGAAATGAATGTCCTATATATATATTGAGTGTGCTTAGTGGTTCCTGCCGTTGCTCAAAGCTGAGAACCAAGTGCTCAGTGCTGAGCACCTTTCTGGGCGTCCTGAGCACGTCACGTGGTCTAGGCGCGGGGCTGTGACCAGGGCGTAACAGGGCAGGGATGATACGGATCTGGTGCTGACTGGCCGATTAATCTGCACGACAGTTAAGCTGACAATTGTGATTTAGTGTGCTGATGCTGCTTGTTTTTTATCTGTCAGCATTAATTCAGTGGTGTGATATATTTTGTTGCAAGAAACGGATGGGCAAGGCAGAGCCTGGATGGTGAAAGTTCAGTCAACTACATGTAGCCAGACTGATACGTTCTCTAACAGAGTAGCTTGTGGGTTTGACCCATGATGACGCGGGTTTCATTTACAAACCAAGAATTGATATATAACAGAGCAAGTAGACTAGGATCCTCCTAATGCCACCTGTCAAAACAACGACTTAGGTATAAATCCCCAGCTCTTCCACTACCCCTAACTTGAAACCCAATAAACACATTACTTTATACACTCACTTAAAACCTTTAAACTATTAATAAAATGCTTCTTATCTCTTTATGAACATATTTACCTCACTAGCGTCAATAGCTATATTATTAATATAACCACTGATACTTAAATTCATTCCTAACCGTGCTTTTAATAAACCCTTCAAAGGCGTAGATAATATTATATATATAGGCTTTGATATTATTAACACTATTATCAACAGTGAAAATTAACTATCCTAGGTAGCTTCTAAGGAATTAAGTGTAGAACATATTACTTTAACATTTGTAAAAGCGGTGTTTATTAATAAGATCCCAAACTTTCGACCGAAGCTTAGGACTCGCAACTCATCAACAGCCAAAGCTTAGCGATGCTTTGAACAGGGTTTCGAACTGGTCCGAGCTGACTCCTGGAACCCGCAGGAACTTGATGCGATTTCAGAAGACGCCTATGGTGTTCCTGAGCACAGACTCAGACGGCCTCAGCTCCAAAAACGAGGCCGGCCCATGGGCAAGATTGTCATCGACCCTGCCCATCAGGCAAAGAGTCAAACACATTGTCTATCCGTCAGCGGTTAATCAGAAAATGGACTTCTTTGACTGAAAGGAGCTAGTTATTATACGAGCTCTACGGGCTTTTCCTGATCGATGAAGACTGCGACATTTGCGAAGTCTGGGCTACATTCAAAAGTAATCTTTTGACCCTTTTGCATAACCATCACTTCTCCCTTATTCAAAATGAACTTTTCACCGCCCTCCACGTCGATTCGAATCCAACCATTCGTCACAAAGAGGCATTCATCCACCGGCCAAACGAGGGTATCTTTTCCCACTTCCCGCAGCATTCCAAAAACCACTTTCCCGTCTTTTGATCGGTAGATAATGGACTTCGTTCCATCGTACATGGGGAAAGGCTCCTTGGGGAATGAGTCCCAATGGCCGTGAGGCACATCTTTAGGATCATAACTGCCTGTTTCGTTTGCTTTACCGGCAGGCATGGTGAGAGATCGTAGTAAGTGAGGCAGTGAGGAGTTGACAATTCCTTGGAGAGGCAAGCAATGGAGGAGATTTTGACCCTGAGTAGGCTCTCAGCAACATGAGAGTGAGGATTGTTGAAGATTCACAGAATCGTGCGATTATGCCACTTAAATCTACGAAATGCAGTCCCAGAAGCGTCTCCACACCTCCTTGCTAAAACATTCCTTCCTTTTATGGACAGTATACGAGCCACCAAGGAGAATCAGCCGGAGCTAACGACTTGCACCTCTAACCCCACATAGTCCCTTGTCCAGAGATGCCACCCAAGTACACAGCCTTGGCTTCGCTCTGAACCCTCATATGGAAATCCAATGTTCACTCATTCTTTAGAGTTTCACAGGGGGTTGTCTTCTCTACAGATTAGAGTGAAAGAATAATATAGTCTTGCGGAAGATGTTCAATGTGACTGAGTATCACCAAAACCTCCTTAGCTACATACCCGTACAAGCTACTAAAATATCAGAATAATGATGGATAGTTTAACATGGGCGACTACCGTGGTGGTGTCTATGAGAAAGAAACATTGTCTAAATTTCCCCCCCAAAAAATCCATTCTATTCTATCTCTTATCTCACAATTTGGAAGCCAGGTTCACATGGACCGATTTGCTCGTAGTGTAGGCGAGGATGCCCAACTCCCCAAGTTCGTGGCCAATACCAGATTGCTTGTGTCCACCAAATGGGACTCGCACATCGGCATCGTTACTGCTATTAATCCACACAGCTAAAGAAGGTCTTGTTAGAGAACCGTACAATTACCGCTGAAGGTGACACATAACACTCACTTCCTGTTTCAAGTCTTCGGGCAATAACATGTGCTTTGGTTATGTCTTGAGTAAACACGGCACCTCCAAGTCCGAACGAGGAGTTATTGGCCCTTTGGATAGCCTCTTCCTCGGTGGAGAATTTGGAAATAACCACGAACGGGCCGAAAACTTCCTCTTGAGAGATCTTCATATTTTCCTCCACGTTAGTGAAGACTGTGGGTGAAATCCATAACCCCTGCTTTCCATTCACATTCTTGTAAGCCGAGCCTCCGGTAGCAAGGGTGGCCCCTTCTTGCTTTCCACACTCAATGTATGATAAGACTCGTTCAAATTGAGATCTCGTAACCTGTGGACCTTGGAAAGTATCGCTTTCAAATGGATCACCAACTTTCGCTGACTCAACCTTCTCGATGTATCGTTTGATAAAGTCATCGTAGATGTCTTTGTGTACGAAAATCCGGCTTGTCGCAGAACATACTTGGCCTTGATTACTCATAATACCAACGTGTGCCCACTGCACGGCTTGTTCGATATCGGCATCTTTGAGAATAATCATAGGGGATTTGCCACCAGTCTCCAGCGTGACGCGTTTCATGGTGGTGGAGGCTAGTTTCATGATTTCACGTCCTGTGGGAGTTGACCCGGTAAATGAGATTTTGTTAATATCGGGGTGTTCTGCAATCGCGACGCCGGCCTTGCGGCCATAGCCGTTCACAATGTTCAACACTCCGGGCGGCAGGCCTGCCTCTTTGACGAGCTGCGCGAAATATAGAGCAGAGAGGGGAGTCTGCTCGGCGGGTTTCAATACCATAGTATTGCCCGCTGCCAAAGCTGGGCCGACCTTATAAGCAACCATGCTCAGGGGAAAGTTCCACGGTATGATGGCTCCGCATACTCCGAGAGGCTCGCGGGTTGTATAGGCAAGCTTATGTGGGTTATTGGAAATTAACTGCCCGGTGAGCTTATCTGCCCACCCAGCATAATACTTGAGGACATTAATGGACTCTGGAATGTCCTCGTATCTTGCCGCCTGGATCGTTTTCCCTGGAATGCATGTCAGTGGTGAAATACGCAAGGAAAAATAGGCAGTACCATTGTCCCATGTCTCGATAGCAGCCAGGGTATCCGCATGCTTTTCAATCAGCTGGGCAAGTTTGTTGATCAAGTCGCCTCGAATCGAAGCATCAGTATCTCTCCAGCTCTGTTCGAAAGCCTGTCTCGCAGCCTTGACGGCATCATCAATGTCCAGCGCGCCAGCACCGTGAACAGTGCAGATTTCCGACTCATCACTACTCCGCGGTGTATCAGTATTGTGTAGAAATAGACCGATTCCAGGAATTATTCTTACATAGGACTGACGGAGACTATTCGATCATTCTCTCTGGATTCAACCCACTCGTTGTTGATGAAAAGACCGAGGGGTTGAGAATAACGTACGCCGTTGGGCGTCGTGAGAGTGGCGAAAAGATCAGTTGTCATAGTTGACCTTTACAAAGCAAGTATCGTGAATCTTTCAATAGGCTCGAAAACGTGATTTCCCTTTTGGTTGAAAAATTGAGATCACTACTCCCTCGGTCTTAAAGGGTCTCAAAAGCTGCTCTTTATATGGGGTTTTAGCGTTATTTTAGTTCCCCTGTGAAGATGCTCGCACCGGCACCCAAATTGGCAACGCTTTTGGTGTCCTGGCCGCCTAAATGGTTGCCACAGGGGTATTCTGGTTTCCGTTAACCGGATCCATTTCATCACTGGTTCTCAGCTTGCCAAGTTTGGAATAAACCCGAAACTCAACATCCATGTACCGGCGAGTCAGTAACTCTAATCGATACAAAGCTGAATAATTGAGAAGTGGTACAATCGGATATTCCTCCAGGACTGCTCTAGATGCTGTTTGTCATCATTGAGGGGCAGAAAGTAACGAGTTCATGACTTGGAAGCCAAAACTTGGCTGGTCAAGTCTACATTTCTGTAGTAAAACATTCTAATGTATGCCATCTTGATTATTTCTGATGCTCTATCGCTTTACTCCTCCCACCTTCCAGCCGTTACAACAGGGCTCGGGCATGCTCTCGGCGGGAGTTCAATACTTTCTTAAGAAGACTTTGAAGCATCCCGATCCTCTCCGGCGTGATATAATAAGCTTCTGGCAAAGATTCATTTCCATCCATATCCGCACTTGTAATCATGTGTGCAAGGTTTTTGCCACATAGAAAAGCATTCACCATCCCATATCCACCATAGCCACTCGAGATCCATTCTGCAGATTCCAAATTTCCCGCAGGTCTATCGAGCAATTTCTGTGTCAACATACCTACCATAGGGACCTTGTCCAAGGAGTTACAGAGAATTCCTGTCCAAGATGCCGCGATTCTCGTCTTGCTTTCCACCTCGTGACCCCATTGGCTCACACCGAAGGCTGCGGGGAGAATCCCGCCGAGATGGCTCAGAGCCAGAATATCTTCTTCCGCATCTGATGGGATCCCGAGGACTTCAGCCTTGCCATTCGTTTCACCACCACCGATCACTATATGGCCAGTTGTGGGGCTTTGAGTAGCATAATCCAGAACGTCGTCAATCAGAAAGCTCCATGAAGAATTGCTTCGCTTTGGAAAGCCGCTGGCTGGGTTTTGTACTGTTATCTGCCCCCTCCTTGGAACAAGAATACCTCGCAAGCGGGGGAGCAGATGCGCAGCATGACCCTCGGTACAGTGAACAACATGCTTCGCTTTGATGATGCCACGTGGTGTGACAACGTTGTAGGGATAATCGCCAGTGCCCTGACGATCTATTGCGATTGCTGGCGTGTTCGTCTCGAGCGAGAATCGGTCTGCAAACTTGGACTGCAGATTCGCGAATACGCTGGTCACCATACGGTAGGGCCAGGCAGCTCCGGCCTTACCAACCAGGGCACCGTGGGCGTTCGCTATCTTGTAGACCTAAATTTCATATTTCAGCGTTAATTCACCGGCACTGGTGTAAAGCAACAGAGAAATCCAGAGCAGCCTTGGGAAAACTCACCTCCACAGCCTCAGTCCTCTCCACGATCTTCCATTCGCCTTTAAGATCAGGAAATGCCAACTCAAAGTCTTCAAGCATTCTTCTCAGCTCTAGTAGTTTCTCTTGACTGAAGACGGCAGACACTGCGCCCACACTCCTCACTTCAGACCGCTCAAGTATGTCTGCGCCAGCTTGTTTGGCAAACTCATAGATAGCGTTGAAATGGGCCAGCTCGAACCGAACAATTTGCACGGCACTCTTATCGCCAAAGATCTTACGGTATTTAGCATAATCTTGAACAGCAGTACAATTGATGCGACCTCCATTTCGCCCCGTCGCTCCGGAGCAAATCTGTCTAGCATCGAGAACACAGATAGACACGGCGTCTGAAAGCTGCGTGAGCCACCAAGAGACGCTCAACCCCGTGATTCCAGATCCGACAACTACCACATCCCTCTTTTCAGGAAGAGAGGGTGATTGAATATCAAGAACATCTTGGTTGGGTGGGGTTTGCCAGTAAGAAGTCGTTGGATTGGCGACAGGCAACCCAGGGTCCTGTAGGAGGCGATGAGACATGTCGATCGTGTAATGGTGGTTAATGGACAACCTAGCAGACTGACAGGTGGGATATCCAGGCACTGGCTGCCCAAGAGTGGAGAAATTCTCTTTGTATTTCAGATATATATACCTCCAGCACGGAACACGGAATACCCCGAAGTCAAATCATCTCGGGAGGATGAAGCCGCCAAGTGGAGATGGCTCGCGTTCAAGCTCGAAAAGGTAATAAGTTCGCAAACCATTTTCAGGGTCCCAGCAAGTTGCCCCGTATTAATAAGTCACAACTTTCCGTTGATCTGATTGATTCCCTTTGTGCTGCGAGCCGGAGGAAATTATAGACGGTGTCCTTGAAAGTATATACCATGTGTGAATTTATGGTTGTGTCATCGAAGGCCGAACTCATGGGACCTTCATCACGAACCTGGCACTTAGAGACCACCCCTTGAAAAGTACAGACGCTTCGTCCATTGATCTCCTCACCAATTCAGCAACACTACGGCACAAATATGGCAAACAGGACTGTTGAATTTCTTTAGCTATAGTTAAACCTTTACCTCTTGGAAAATCCCGGGAAACCAGTAGAGGTCTCCTTCTGCACCCAGTCTAAATAAGCCTTCAAACCCCCGAAAAAGAAGTTTGTGTTTGCTTTCCGCCCCTCAATATTCTGCCCGAAAATCCAGCTCTTGGTTGTCGTGAACACAGATCCGTCAACCAAACTGTCACATAGATCCGACCAACCTTGTTCAGCTTCTGGGTTGACTTCCACGATACCCCGGTTGGATATCCGATGCCCATTTACGTTGCCATTCGTCTGCTGATCATGGTGCGTCTCGCCTTCTGCGTATTCAATGCACTTCATGATAAACCTGACCTCGCTCTCAATAACAGGAGGGAAGTTTGCAAACGCGCCTTGTGGGCCGGACACAATAAACATGTTCGGAAATCCAGAGCAGGCGATTGAGCCATACGCTTTTAGGCCGGTCTTCCAGTGATCTTGCATAGTTTCTCCGTCGCGGCCCTTGATGCAGACTCTCATGTAACTGCCTTCAATTGCCTCGAAGCCAGTTGCAAAAATCAAGACATCCAATTCATGAATAGTGCCATCTGACAGCTTAATTCCTTGGGCCGTAATTTCCTGAATAGGCGTCTCCCGAAGACTGGCAATGTCCACATTGTCCCGGTTGAAGATTTGGTAATAGCCTGAGTCGCACAGTGGGCGTCTGGCGTACAGCTCCGTGGGCTTCAAGGCGTTGGCTTTACGAGGATCCTTGACGATCTCGTCGATCTTGCTCTTGATGAATTCGCAAGCTTCTTTGTTTGCGTCTATATTGGTTGTAATGTCCCCAAAGGCACTGAACATGAACCTAAAGCCGTTTCCCTGATCCCACACTTTCTGGAAAGCTTCACGCCTCTCCTCTGGTGTGGCTTCCATAGTCTTCCGAGTCGACTCCGGGACACCGAAACCAACAGAAGACTTGAAGACATTCTCCCAGATCTCATTGTATCTCGCGTTGATGTTTGCTCGATATTCAGGCGTGACAGGTCCTTGGCCACTAGGCACAGAGTATTGGGGATTCCGTTGGAATGAAACAAGCTTCCCGGCGGTTGGAGCTAATGCAGTCAACACCTGCACTCCCGTAGAACCATTGCCGATCACTCCAATCCTTTTCCCATCCAGCTTGACCGAGTCGTCCCAGGTGGCTGTATGTAGAAGCTGGCCCTTGAAAGTGTTCAATCCAGCAATTTTAGGATAGTTTGCTTTGCAAAGCAGACCAAGAGCATTGATCAGATACCGGGAGAGGATTGTTTCGCCTGCAGAGCACACAATTCGCCATCTTTGACTATCCTCATCCCAGGTGGCGGTCTTCATTTCGCAATTGAACTCCATATATTTTCTGAGATCATATTTGGCCACGACGTGCTGAAGGTATTTCAGGATATCGGGCTGATAGACGTAGTGATGTGTCCAAGGGTATGTCGTCAAGTCTTCCTTGTCCCAGGAGTAGCGGTAGAGGTAACTCTCAGTGTCACTCATTGCACCTGGGTAGCGATTCCAGTACCAAGTTCCACCAACGTCGCCTGCCATGTCGATGCATTTTACGTTGAAGCCCTTACTGGACAGGAGGTGTGTTGAATAGATCCCGCCGACGCCTGCACCGACGACGAGGGCATCGACGGTTGTTTCTCTTGCCATGTCTTCAGATATAGGTGAATACGAGAGAATAAATTTCAAGCAAAGGCGCGGTAAGGAGAGGATATCTTGGAACGTCTGTTGGTGAAAGATTCGCAAACGAGCAGACGAAACGAGAAGTTCTCTACAGGGTGAAGGATGTTAATGAAGAATTCACTACCTGGCATCTGATTGGCAAACAGTCTCACCGGAATCATACTGCACTTTTATCTCAAGTACCTTTTCTCCTCACTGCTACATACCAATCGATGGGACATCATTGGATGCCAGCTGCACCTCAGGGGCAATACACTGCGGGGAAATAATCGCAACCACGACCAATGTGGAAACTTTCTCATCGAAGCGGGATATTGATATCCCTCATGACCATTTCTTGAAGTGTCCGCCCACGAGTCACAAAGATATGGGAAGCATTCTGTATTTCTCCACCCAACGTTGATATCAAAAGCGGGGAAGCTTGTAGCGTCGCCAGTAGATCCAATACGGCAATATTCAAGTCGTGATCCGATCTAGTGACCCCTTCCCAGCTGTCAAACTTGCCTAATGGGGCTGGGACACGAGCTACCCTAGTATCTAGCGGGAATAGCATCAACTCGTTCTCCAACACTCAACATTGGACATCAGTGGCCGACAACGGCATGCATGGATGTATGCCTTGCTTCCGGCCCTCGGGATCTTGTTACTTTCCTTCTTTAGTCTCGGCTAATGGCGATCGCGAGATCGACAAGAATGGAAATTCCTGTGCTCGCTCTGTGGCTCAAAACGTAAGAAGCGTGGAGATCTTGACTACATCATCGAAATTTTGAGGCTACAAAAGATCAAAGGCTCGCAGCAAGGTATTAACCCTTGAAGGGGTCCTAAAGTTGCCGGTTTGTGTATTCCCATACATTATTGCTGACTTTGACTTTGCGATTTCATTCTACCGACCATCATGCCCTCCCCCAAAGTCACCATTACCGCCCCCAACGGGCGACAGGTCGCTATCAATACTGGCCTTTTCATCAACAATGAATGGGTTGAATCGAGAGACGGGAAGAAATTGACAAGCATCAATCCAGCGTGAGTGAGCCCAGAAGACGCAAGTGTGAGATATAGAGAGCTGAGCTATTGTGTAACATTGAAGCACTGAAGAGGAGATTGTTTCTGTCTCTGCTGCTACCACCCATGATGTTGACACAGCTGTCAAAGCTGCCCGTGCTGCCCTGGAGGGAAGCTGGGCTGAAGTAGACGGCACCCAGCGAGGCCAGCTCCTGATGAAGTTGGCCGATCTTGTGGAGGCTGAGATGGAGCCTTTGGCAACCCTGGTGACAATTGAAAATGGGAAACCCTACAGCCAGGCGACCGGAGATATTGAAGAAATGTGCGGCGTCTTTCGATATTACGGAGGCTGGGCCGATAAAACATACGGCCAAACAATCGAAACCAACCGGAACAAGTTCACATACACCCTTCGTGAGCCGATAGGTGTCTGCGGTCAGATTATCCCGTGAGTGCATTTACTGAACCCCAATTCCATTCAATTAGTTTGTCTCAATAATCGCTGATCTCACTTGCTGTCAGATGGAATTACCCGCTTGGGATGGCAGGCTGGAAGCTGGGCCCGTGTTTAGCATGTGGAAATACGACTATTCTGAAGCCAGCGGAACAGACGCCACTGTCAATCCTCTATTTCGCTGACTTGGTGGTCAAGGCCGGTTTCCCACCCGGAGTCATCAACATTCTCAACGGTTCCGGCCGTGAAGCTGGCTCAGCAATCGTCGAGCACCCTGGAATTGACAAGATTTCCTTTACTGGAAGCACGGCTACAGGCCGCATGATCATGAAGTCTTCGGCTGGGACATTGAAAAATATTACTCTCGAGACGGGAGGGAAGTCTCCTTTGATCATTTTCGACGACGCGGATATGAAGAACGCCGTGAAGTGGGCTCACTACGGCATCATGGGCAACATGGGTCAGATCTGCACCGCTACCTCTCGTATATTCATTCATGAGCGGATATATGACGAGTTTATGGAATTGTTCTTGAAATACACGGCCAAGATCTCCATTGTGGGAGATCCGTTTGAAGAAAAGACGTGGCATGGCCCCCAGGTGTCCAAGGCGCAATATGAAAAGATACTGGGGTACGCGGAATCAGCTCGGCAGGAGGGTGCCACGGTTCTGGCTGGTGGTCAACCAGCATCCAACAAGCCCAATGGCAAGGGATACTTTATCGATCCTACCGTGGTGGGTGACGTAAAGCCTTCAATGAAGGTATACCAGGAGGAGATTTTCGGTCCGTTTGCAGTGGTTGTCAAATTCACTTCGGAAGAGGAAGTTGTAAAGGCAGCCAACGATACCGAGTACGGGCTTGCAGCCACACTGTTTACGACAGACGTAACCCGGGCGGTCCGGGTCTCACAGAGGCTCCGAGCCGGAAACATTTGGATAAACTCAAATAACAACAGTGACTTCCGAGTTCCTTTTGGCGGGATGAAACAGTCCGGAATTGGAAGAGAGCTGGGAGAGGCTGGCCTTCAAGCATACTCAACGATCAAAGCTGTGCATCTGAATTTAGTGATGGCCAACCCTGACATCTAGCCTCGGGACACTGTAAGACTACATATGGCATTCAAATAGATTAAATCCAGTCAGATCCTAGAATATTTTATTTCTCATTGAATTCATTATTCGTCGATGTAGTATTTTCACAACGATGAGGCTTATTGCAATATAAGCCAGCCATTAAGATGATTTGTTTAAATATTCCCTTTCAGCTACATCACATTCCAACATTAGTCTCGCTGAAACCAAACGCTCTATATCATCGATCACCAATTTTCTCTCTTGACATGTCGACAGTATCCAATTTGATGGATTTGCCACTCATATAATGAGGTGTCCCCAACAAACTCCATCTGTAAACATGGATTCCCAAAGTCATATCGCCCCGGGGCATTACTTCCATGATAGGAACCAAGATCAATCTTCCAACAGCGGTCATGTTGGGCGAGACTCAATTGGTTGACTATAGATATAACGTCACTTAAAGTCAATTCGATGACGGTCGGCAAAATCGGCAAGAGATTATCGGCCCATTCTATCACTTGACCTGGTCTTCACTCGACCCATTCTTTTTCAGGTTGTGGTGGAGGTTGAATTGACTGTCGCTTGACGTCTCCAAGATTTTCTTATTAAGAACATGAAGCTGCTCCCTTTATCGTCTCTAAACTAACTTGTCGGAGATGCAGCAAACCCTTACACGAAGATTTCAACATTTTTTTTCTCTGTGCTGTCAAAGAACGCAGAACGAGTCGAAGGAGAACTTCTCCGGATGGTGACGTCGATGATGCTCGTGATGGTGTGTGGATCTTTGAGTTCGTTCAACCCCGGATCAGCCGGAGTGCCTGATACTGGAGCACGAGCGGGAAAGCCCACACACGGCTAGATCTGGGAACCTACTTACCTTACCACTAGCCAATTGTGTGCTCGGGGAGGGAGGCGAACAAGACATTGGTGGAGCTTATCCCAATGTCTAATATAGGCTCTCTCACTCTGCCACAACGGAGCTGATCAATTCAACGTACACTTTGATAGATAGGCCCGAATTCCACATTAAATATTGGGGAACCTGGAGAAAGTATGTGTGTCTTATTACCGGACCCGTCGTGGGGAGTCATCTGAACATCTGAACCGTATTCATCTGTAGAAGTTGGACGCCACTCCCCCCCGAGGCCATCCTTTGTACGTCGATAGTCGGGCCGTTGAAGGGGTTGTGAATGACGACACAGGCTTAACTATTGATATGGTTCTTTTACCCCATGATCTAACCGACCAAACGGTGGACCTAACCGTTGCATAAATACCGGCCTCTCCGTTTTGAAGCGCTTTCATCAAGGTGTAAACCCCAACACCAACCCTATCAATATTCGCAATCATGAAATTCCCGGGGTTGACAGTTTATTTCGATCAACATGATCCCAACTCGGAGAAGCGGATGGACGGGCATCGCCCGTCCCTAGCAGGCTTGGACTACTCCCCGCTGCCCCGAATCTCGTCCCGGTCCTTCGTCATGGGCGTTCTTGTGTCTATGGGCGGCTTGATGTAAGATATCAGAACATCCTCCCCTATGATAGGCCAGTTTCAGTTGCTGATTGTGAAAAATCCAGCTTTGGCTATGATACCGGTCAAATTTCTGGCTTTCTAGAGATGGACGACTTCGTCCAGAGGTTTGGATCAACCAATGCACAAGGCGTCAAGGAGTTCAGCCGTGTGAGGTCTGGCCTGATTGTTGCTCTGCTCTCAATCGGCACACTTATGGGAGCTTTGGTTGCCGCACCTATTGCAGATAGGATTGGGCGTCGCCCTTCGATCTCCTTCTGGTGTGTAATCGTGTCTATTGGCTTTGTGGTGCAAATTGCTGCCAACACTGCCTGGTACCAGATCATGATAGGCAGATACATTTCTGGACTTGGAGTAGGTGCCCTGAGTCTTTTGGTGCCAATGTACCAGGCTGAGACAGCACCCCCGTGGATTCGTGGAGCTCTCGTCTGTACCTACCAGCTTTTTATCACGTTGGGCATCTTTCTGGCCGCCTGTTTCAACTATGGCACGTACACCCATCATCCCAACAGCTCGGCGAGCTGGAGGATCGTCATCGGCATCGGCTGGATCTGGACTCTTATCCTTGGCATTGGGATCCTGTTCTTCCCAGAAACACCTCGGTACAACTACCGTCACGGTAAAGCGGACAAGGCCCAGGCAACACTGTGCCAGGTATATGGTGCCACGCCCAACCACTGGGCTATCCACACGCAGATTGAGGAAATTGAGAGCAAGCTTCGAGAGGAAACCTTTGTCAAAGGGAATGCTGTGAAGCAGTTTGTGAGAATGTTTAGGGCTCCTCGAATGACATATCGAATCGCTCTTGGAATGGGCCTGCAAATGTTCCAGCAACTGACGGGTCAGTATCCCAGCAGCTGGTCTTCCATTATTTTACATCGCTGACGAGTATCCTCTAGGTGCCAACTACTTTTTCTACTACGGAACTACAATCTTCAAATCGGTGTCGATCAATTCCTTCATTACTCAAATCATTTTGAACACCATCAACTTCCTCGTCACTTTCATAGGTCTATACTTGGTGGAACATTACGGCCGCAGAAAATCTTTGATCTCCGGTTCTCTTTGGATGTTTGTCTGCTTTTTGATCTTTGCGTCTGTCGGCCATTGGGCCCTGGACCGCAATGATGCAACTCGAACACCACATGCCGGAGTTGCGATGATTGTTTTCGCATGCTTGTTCATTCTTGGTTTCGCGACAACCTGGGGCCCTATGATCTGGACAATCATGGCCGAAATCTACCCCTCCCGTTACCGAGCCAGAGCTATGGCACTTGCCACAGCATCAGTAAGTAGCCAAACAGAACCCCAAAGACGCAACCGCAACTGACAGTAGCGCAGAACTGGCTCTGGAATTTCCTCTTGGCCTTCTTCACGCCTTTCATCACAGGCGATATTGACTTCTTGTATGGCTTTGTCTTCGCGGCATGCAATCTAATTGGTGCTGCAATTGTCTATTTCTTTGTCATCGAAGGAAGAGGTCTCAGCATCGAGGAAATCGATACCGCCTATCTCGAACATGTCAAACCTTGGGAGAGCTCCAAATGGGTCCCGCCTACCCCTGCCGAAATGGCAAAGATTCGGCGACAGGCTGGAACTGAAGTCGCTGGCACTGAAGAGCCCACCGAAAGTTATCCAACTGCGAGTGATGGAACAACTGGGGCAGTTAGCATGAATAAGAAGGAAGAGAACGGCCTTGATCATTCCCACCATGAGAATGCGTAGGGGGTTGGATCAAATACCGAAGGTCAATAGGACCATATTTAAATCAAGAAAGAAGAATATATGCAGGCGGTGTATATGTGTGTTTATATTTGTGGCTTACGAGGCTGGTCTGGTCTGCTATCTAATACGTGGTTGTATATTATGCTTCACACCTGAGTGTACACGAGGCTTAGGAACTCTTAGGACTACCACTAAATTGTTCAGCCTTGAAAGGCAGTGGGAAATAACGATGCTATTCTCTACGAAACTGGGGCTAATCATTAGCTTGTTATCTCTCCAATATTGAGAATAATACGTCTTCCGACATGATGATACCATTGCCCAACATCACATCCAGCAACGTCCCAGAGAGGCAGGAGATGGGCCGCTTCAATCAGAGAACCGCTGCCCCTCAAATGTAGCATCACATCACCAATATTCGTATCTCAAAAGTGGGACGAAATGGAACTTTTTTCATGTGAAAAAACTGTGAATGGACCGGTTGTGAATACGACTCAAGACGACGTTGGCCCACAATCATTGGTCGCGCGGCAACTGACTGGAGGTACCTAGGAGTTTTGGTCTGCGACAATCTCTGAGGGGAATCTTTACAAAGAATCTTCTCGGGAAGCTTTCATCTAAAGATAGCAACCTGATTATTCACAGCGCCGCCTCTATGGATTGTTGCGAAGAACAAATAAGTGAGGCCATCGGTGGGCCGAATGGGCGGTAACTTGGTTCGCCACGGCGTAAAGGGGTACGGTACCGGCATTGTCGGAATGCGTCATTATTTGCCTCCGATGGGCAGCTATCCCGTTGACGGCAGTTGGAGGATGACAGGCATGGTACGGTGACAGTGCTTCAAGGTAGATAGAGGTTGAGTCAAGGTCCCCTGACTGGGATGCCTCCTTGTCCATTGCACTTGATTCGCTCATAAGCTTAAAGCGAGAATCCCCAGTCACTAACATTAGTGCCGACTAAGATTTTGGCTCAGGTTTGAGCTTGAGACGGCGTCCCCAAGTCCCGAGATCTAAAATCCTTCCTGTCGCTCTCCCTTGCAGATTCACCATCCGCCCGGCAATCTCGTCATCTTGCCAAGGATGGCCAGAACTTGAACTGCGCTCTCCTCCTTCCAATTCCATCCTATTGTCATGCTGACCGTGCATACCGCCAATCATTCGCCCAACTTTAATCGGCCCCCGCCCCCCTGCCAAATCTGTACGCGATCTGCAGATGGATGAAAGAACCCGGAGCAAGGCGGGGAGGCGATAATCTACCTTAGTGTCGGCGATTTTATCCAAACGCCCAAGTATGAGGATGATGCTTGCTCAAGTTGCCACACGGCAGTCAATACTTCAACCTCCTATCGGGCTTCGTATCGCCGTTGCCCTGTCGAGACCGTTGTGAACACACGCACGGGGTTGCTCCGGTGCCATGGAGCCCTTGTGAAGCTACCATGTCTCAGGAGTGATCAGCATAACCGGTAATTGCTGGTTAGTGCTGCGCCCAGAAAGATTGACTTAAACACCTACCTGATTTGTTCATGATGCCATGGTCCTTCTGCATACTGTCACGCAGGGAGCTTTTGAACTGCCTGGCCCAGGCAGCACCGACTATCCCCATCCTCCAACAGAATTGCATCCATGCCCTTGTGCGATGGTGGAATTCCGATTGTTACCTTGATGGCTGCTGCTGTGCAACATGATTGGGGATGGTGCCATGTCAGGTGTCCATATCGCAAAATGTCACCCTGCCAACATTCCAAAGGGTCATACATTCCGAGGAACTTTGCAGCCTCTGTTCCTCCATACACTGGCCTAGTATCAGGGTTATAAAGACTCAGCCTTCCCTCCCTTGGTCGGCAGCCAGCAGGAGCCTTAGCACCACAATCACCTCCTCCCGACTCCATCTAACCTGTTCAAGATGAAGTCCTCTCCCTCGGTGTGGAGCGCAGTCGCCAGCCTTGTCGCTGGTGCACTTGCCAACAAGGAGATCGCTGTTGATGCTGAAAGGGCGGCAGAGTTGTACGACAATGGTGCTAGACATGAGCACATTATGCAGCTCAAGGCTGTAAGTACTTCTCATCCGCATGGGAGACCATGACTTCCAAAGGTTTCTTACTCCCTGGAAATGAGTGCTAATTGTATCGGTATAGAAAGTCTGGGCCGACCTTGATGCGCAAGGCGTATTTGACTCCACTCAGTACACCTCTTTCAATAAGGAGACGGACTACGTAGCATGTGACAACGGCTACGCGTCCTATGTCCCTGGAGATGCCAAGTACACCTTCAAGTGCCAAGACCTCGATCTCTACGACTTCAAGACACACGCAGAACTTGGAAGCACCTACGGTCGCGGTGCTGGGTCCTGGGGCTGGACCAGCCCGGAGGGGCGCGAGTTTGTCGGCATTGCCCAGGAAGACGGCACATCGTTTTCCGAGGTGTCCAAGGAGGGTAAGCTGATCTACCTTGGAAGATTGCCTCAGTACACAACCGCACAGCCATCTCTGTGGCGCGAGATCAAGGGCTACAAGAGCTATCTTGTCATCGGAAGCGAAGCGGTAGACCACGGTGTCCAGATCTTTGACCTGAGGAAACTTCTGGACGTCGATCCCAAGAGCCCCAAGGTCTTCAGCAACGCGGACGACCTTGACGGCTGGTGGAACGAGGAGCTCCCATTGGGAAGATCCCACAATGTCATCACCAACGAAGAGCGAAACTACGGTGGTGCCACCGGGTTCCAGCCTCGCGATGGTCCTCTCGCCGCTGGTCTTGTCTTCTTCGACCTGACGGATCCCTCCAACCCAGTTACCCTGGGAGGCAGTGGAGAAGATGGTTACGTCCACGATGCTCAGTGTCTTGTCTACCGCGGACCCGACGAGAAGTACGTTGAGCGTGATATCTGCTACGGCTACAATGAGGATTCTTTGACCATGTAAGTTCTACCTCTATCTGACCACACGTGACAATACGCTAACAATCTATCAAGCTACGATGTCGAAGACAAGTCCAACATTACCATCATCTCCAGGATTTCCTACGAAACAGCCCAGTACACTCACCAAGGTTGGGTTCTCGACCCTCAGTGGCAAAACTACATCATTCTGGATGATGAGTATGATGAGGTCGAAGTGAGCAACAACGGCGGCATTGCTTACCCAGTCTCATACATCTGGGACATCAGCTCATTGGAAAATCCCAAACTTACGGGCCAATATACCGGCCCGAGGTCTGGTATCGACCACAACCAGTTCATCATCGATGGCTTTGCCCACCAGAGCAACTACGCTCTGGGCTACCACGTCCTGGATGTCCGCTCCATCCCTGAGGACCCCACTGGCGGCAGCATCAAGCAAGTTGCCTTCTTCGATATCCACCCTGAGGACGACAACGCCCCTGGAGGAGGGAATGTCACTTTCACCGGAACATGGAGCCACTACCCTTACTTCAAGAGCGGCTATGTTGTCATTAACACCATGGACAGGGGTGCATTTGTCGTGAAGAAGAGCAAGGACGCCCAGTGGTAATGGAAGAGCTGGACCATGTACATAGTGGCAGCTTCTATCGCATCAGCTTGGTATTCAGTTAATCAAAGGTAGAGGAGAATAACCTCCCATATTTAACGAATAAGAAACGTCAAAGATGGAATCCTGTCCTGATTTACGCATGCAGTGATGTAGATCATTAACAACAGGGAGTGGCAATGAACCCTCTAATAGCCTCTTTGACCTCATGGAAGAAGAATAAAGCCGGAGACACTTACACGCATCTCTTGAAGCAGGTTTTTTATATTGTTTCTTCAAGAAAAATTCACAAAATCAGTCCATCTCATTGATCTCAACAAATCCACCGCGGCACTAACCTTATACCAAAAGAATTTCATTTCAAAAGAGCTTTAACCGTCCCAGCCATCCTTGGCATCCGACAATAAGTGAGTTTTAACCCAGATTGAACTTTATAGAGGCTTGGCTAGCCTTAGTTTCTGATTGAACATACCATCAATGCTATTCAGTGAGGGGCAGAGGCTACAAAGACCAATAAAAGGATAGAGGGCTGCTTTATGTGCCCACAAACAGTTTATCGCCATCACATTCGATATAGCCGATAGGGCTACCTTTCAAGATCCCAGACAATTACGGGCTTCCATATCCGAAGTAATCTTGTGGTTTATCAAATGAGTGGGGATAAGGAATTCCTCTACAACGTTACACTTGTTGATTGACAACCCATTACGGCCGATAGGGATTTAGGCAAAACATGCCCCTTGAATGCAAATTGCGACTCATGATTCCGGGTTCTGCGTGATGGTTCGATTCCGGTTCTGTGTACTAGTTGAACCTATTCAGTCCTGCTGATTATTAGGAAGACTTGGGCGAGCCATGGGTCAACATACTCCCATTCCGTGGTACAATTCATGGCCAACTTCCAATAGAAGTCCAGTACCACGCAAGTCGGCTGATAATTAACTATGGATATCGTGTGTGCTTACAATAATCCACGCTAAATGGGGAAGCACAGTCGTTTAGCCATGTGTGCTCGGATGCATCGCACGAGATACATGGATGAATCAGTTTCACCGCGACATTCTTCCATATAATGCTCCCTCTTCTTCAGAACGAACCATTAGATCCCATAAAGATCCAATTGTGGTGTAGCGACCTAGTTTCGGCAATGTGTCGCCGATCCAATGCCGCTATCATTTGCTCAACCAACATCCAACGAAGCGACTGGTGCACTAACTCCTCCTTACCGGGTGAAAGAGCAACCCCGCAAAGCACATTTGGCAGGTTGTATCTCGAGTGGAGCGTCTGCATGGATTAGAACGACGAGTCTTCCCGGTCGGAAAGCTAATGGCTCGTGAAGCGGAACCAATGTTGTAGTAGGACGGCATAAGCTTTGGAGGGGTCAATTGGCTGCAGCCGGCTGGACTTGGGATCACGCGCCACCGACAGAGTTCTAGGCCATGGTGCTACGTATTTCAAGGGACCTTTTGGCGTTGCATCCGGGCAGAAATCCGTACAT